ACAAAGAGCTGTCTACACTGCCTTTTCTTGCGCAAGAAGGGGCAGTGTAGACAGCTCCTTCTGGCGCAAGAGTCTCTTCTGCAAAAATGGCAGCTCATTAGGTATGCAAATGAGGCTCGGCGATATTCCACGCTTAGCCTCATTTGCATATTTCTGGCGCAAGAAGCCGTGAGTGTAGACATAGCCCTAGTCTGTGCATCTGTGCTAACATCCCTGAGAGATGTTTTGCCTAACCCTGTTCATTAAAAACTCTACTGATGATTCCACAACTTCTTGTGATAGCCTATTCCAGAACTTAACTATTCTTCTAGTTAGAAAGTTTTTTCTAATATATAACCTCAGTTTCCCTTGCTGCAGATTAAACTGTTTACTTCTTGTTCTACCTTCAGTGGCTGATCCCCATCCTCTCTGATACAGAATGCAATATATTTGAAGGTTTTCAGGTTCCCCTTCAGCTACCTTTCCTCAAGATTGAATATGCCCAGATGGTCTTGAATTTTGATTGTCTTTCAACTTGGGTAGCATTGACACCTATGAAAAGTGTGTATAAAATGCTTCTATTCAATTTACCTTTTACATTAACATACACCATACAATTGGTATTGTCCATTCATGTGAATGGAGGCATGGTTTCTCATTTTGCACAGATTTAAATAAGTTCACAAGGTATAGGACAATGGACAACCAGGTCCAGTGTGTTTTTATAGGCTATGTCTATACTGCCCCCGTTTTGCGCAAAAAATATGCAAATGAGGTGAAGCATGGAATATCTCTGTGCCTCATATGCATAATTAATTAGGCTCCATTTTTGCGCAAGAGGCATTTGCGCAAAAAACCCCTCTTGTGCAAGAGCCGTTCTTCCGCATTTCAGCCGTTCTTCTGCTTTCTGCTGCTTTAGTTTGAAGCAATCTTAAAACCCAGCCTACTGCAAATCATCCATTCACTTGTCTACTGAATGTTTTCTTAGATATTGATTGTTCATGAGGATTGTTCTTTGTAACATGAAGAAAGAAAGAAAGAAAGAAAGAAAGAAAGAAAGAAAGAAAGAAAGAAAGAAAGAAAGAAAGAAAGAAAGAAAGAAAGAAAGAAAGAAAGAAAGAAAGAAAGAAAGAAAGAAAGAAAGAAAGAAAGAAAGAAAGAAAGAAAGAAAGAAAGAAAGAAAGAAAGAAAGAAAGAAAGAAAGAAAGAAAGAAAGAAAGAAAGAAAGAAAGAAAGAAAGAAAGAAAGAAAGAAAGAAAGAAAGAAAGAAAGCCAATGAACTGAGGAAGAATGTGGTATGTTAAACTGAGGTCCGTGTCAGGTGAAGGTAGCCTACGGCTCAGCCCTCAGGGGGGTCAGAGAAAATTTTCAGAGTGATTTCATTTATTAAACCCTACCAAGGAGAGACAGTCTCCTGGGGAACCAAGTAAGATTTATTTCAAGATCTTGTTACTGGGTTTTGTTAAAGATTTAAATAACCATGTCAACACTTGTTTCGCTTCACTGCACGAAATGCAAACCTGAGGCTATGAAAAGGGAACCCACCATTGCAAATGGTGGAGTGCACCAATGTCAAACATAGATATTGTTGTTGTTTCTCTATTGTATTTTCGGTATCCACAAAGAGAGGGAAATGATGATGACAGGGAAACCTGGCCACCATGGAGTCTGTGCTAGCTGCAGTGTTGGGGGTATGCACAATAAGCTGAGCGTGATCTTATCTAGGTCCATCATTGCTTCTTACTGTGAAATGCTGGAAGTTTTGTTGGTGGGAAGTGAAACAAATCTATGTCTAGCTCCCATAGGTGGACCAGGGCAAAGAGCTCTACTGCATGTGTGCAAGGAGAGTAACAGGGCCCTCTATCCTCTTAACCCAAAAAGCCCCACAGCCCTGTGCCATTTGCGCTAATAGGGAGTTTTCTGCCCCCATCCCCATCTCATAAAAGTAAGGCACCTTACCGTGGCCAGTTTTGAAAGGGCAATATTAAATATAGAGCCAACCAGAAGCCGAGTTATATTTCTGTTGCACCTATTTTCCCCTGACTTCTCCTTTGTCCCTTTTTCCACCTTCTTTCTATTTGTGGTACTTGCCTGGCCCCTTTTACATAAGATCTGACCACCTCATAGTCTTTAATGCATTTGCCTTGCAAGATTCTCTCTTATTCAGTTCAGTGATTGCAGATTCCAGTCTATTTGATTTTGTGTCTCCTTTATCAGTTTCATTACATTTTCAAATGACGTCATGGGTCACCTAAGCTTCATGACAGGGCCTGGGTTTTTTGGCACATTTCATGCATTAGCTGAGGATTATATAAAACAAAAATTTGTCTGTCTCATTTGTTAGACAAGAAGTTTGGATTGAGCTAGGTTTTACCAGCCAAAGACTTCTAAGTTTAATCCTGGCTCAGTTCCGTGGCCTTACCTTGGGCAAGTTCTTTAACCTTATTCTCTCTGGTGTAAAACCTAACAATTTTGAAACACTACTTAAGACTTACATGAGTTAGCACCCAGTGTGGACAGGATTTAACAGCCTATGAACTGGATGGATCCTAGTCTAACTCATTTTTATGTGCTAAAAGATGTTTAAAATCATGTTAACTAAGGGTACGTCTACACTTTGGAGCTATTTTGGGATACCAGAATTATTCCGAAATAGCTACTCCATGTCTATTGAAGCAGCCCGTTAGTTCGAAATAGGTTTTGAAATAATGAACATTTTATTCAGACATCCTGGTAACCCTTGTTCCATGGTAGACAGTGCCAAATTATGAAATAAGCTACACAAATTGCATAGCTTATTTCGAGCTAAGGGCGCTGTGTAGACGCACTCAAACGCTCTTTAAAGAACAGCCATTTCCTAGCTAGCCAAGGCCTATGGATAAAATAGCACTGCTGGCAAGCTTTAGGGTTGTTGTGAAGACTAATGTACGTAAAGCAGTTTCAAAGTAGAAAAATAGTGGGATGTAAATCTATTCCACATTAGCCTGCTGTGCACTAAGGGAATGCCTACTCAACATGCTGAAGTGACACAGCAGCTGTGCCATTGTAACTCTTTACTTGTAAATAATCCAGAGATGGGAAGGGTTTTCCTATTGCTGTAGATAATCCACCTCCCTGAGATGCAATAACTAGGCTGGCCAAAGAATTCTTCCATTGACCTAGCATGGGCTATGCCAGGGATGAGATTGGCTTAACCACATCATGCAGGATGCTGATATAACTTTTCAGTGTAGACAGCCCTCAATGTTCATATTAAGAAATGCACAAGAACCCTGGGAGGGGTTCTTGTGCACTTCAAAATTGGGACTCTGCTTGCAGCCTGGGGCCAGCGGGAAGTTCCGCTGACTTTGGGCTCCCTGAGAGCACTTGCGCTTTGAAATATCATGCATAGCCCACGGTCAGATAGGGAGACCCCAGCTGATCCCGGATTCCATAAAAATGCCATGTGGAGCCCAGAATTCCTGGCTCCTCTTGGTATTTCAAAGCAGCAGCACCACACAGAGCACAGGATCAGCTAGGGACTCCACAGCTGACTCCAGGTTCCGCAGAAATGCCGCAGCTGACCTATGTGGTGGTGTTTCAAAGGGGCAGGGCCGCACAGCTGATCCTGGGCTCTATGCGGCATTTCAAAGGGCAGCGCCGCAAGAGCCCTGGGTATGGGCTCCATGCAGCACTGCTGCTTTGAAGTGCCTCCTCTCCCCCCGCTTTGCTGTCTCTATCTGGTAGAGGCAGCAAGGCATGGGAAATCGACAAGTCCTTAACATCCTTAGTTCATATAGACAAACAAGTGTTTTTCTATGTCCTCAGCCCAACCCAGAATTGCCAGACTCAAAACTGGAGAGTCCCATCTGATGATCTCTTAGTAAAAATGGTGAAATGTTTGTTTTTTAAGATCTCTGACTCATTTGTGCAGTCCCATAATCTGCCACAACTGAGACTTCTAAACTTGGCTGTTAGACTCTCCAGACACGTCTAGAGAACTTTTGAAATCAGCATTAAGATCCAAATGCTGCAATCCCTGTTCATGTAACTGGTCCCACTTACTGCAGATAATGTCACCTCATGTAAAATTCCATTTGTTACTAAAATATCACCATAAAGCCAAAAAAAACCACCCAGAAAATTCTTCATGGACTCAATAAAACCCTTCAGTATTCCCTGCTCTCTTCCACAGTCCCTTCCATGATGGCAAAGGGAGTGACATGATGGCTACATTTTGTCCTGTAGCAAGCTGATGCATTCCATCTATCATTTCCAAAATGAGGCCACATCTATATTTACCAGGAGATTGCAGAGAATCAATACTACAGAGGTCGATTTTCTGGCATTTGATTTAGCGGGTCTAGTAATCAAATGCTGGGGCACCCCTGTTGACCATGGTACTCCTCAGTGAGGGAAGTCAATGGGAGAGTTTCTCCCATCAACGTCCCACTGTGGGAATGGTGCTGAAACTCAGGTCACAGTAAGTCAATTTCAGCTATGTAATTTAAGTAGCTGGAGTTGCGTACCTTAAGCCGACCTTCCCCCTGCTGTATAGACCTGCCTTAGATAAACTAAACCAGAAAAGAAATAGGATGGTTCATAAGAGTTACGAGTATATCACTATAACTATAGCAGTATAGTTTTACCATTGTGATAATGCTGCTAAATTTCTCTGTTTAGACAATTCCAGAGCATCTTGATGTATTGTCATTCTAGGGTTCCATTTGCGAAAGCAAGACAATACCTTTGAGAGCAACAGCAGGAGAAGCCTATACAAAGGCAGACGTGTCTATGCAATTCCCTACTGGCAGAAGCTCTGTACAAAGTACTCTGTACGGCACTCTACCTATCAGACCCTCACTCTGTGATGAAATAAAAGGAGAAACCTCATTCTTCTCTTAACTTAAAATGAGTTCTGCGAAGCATTTACTCTTTTCATTTTCAAAGCACCAGCCACAGATAAATAT